AGATTTCTCCTGGATAGTACTGTTCCCTACCATGTGGATTTTTCTAAATCGGGGTTAAAGAGCAGTGTGGAGAGTTGTGCAGCAACACTGTTTTACTGACGCTTAAAGTGATTATTTACTCTTAGCACAATGAAGAGGAGATGTATAGGCTGCTGGACTTTGTGACCTTATTTGTGATGCTATTTGCTCTTGAATGTTCTCACCATCCCATCTCCACCAGTTCTTCCAGGCACTTCCAGAGAGGATGGGGGCTGGTGCCATGTGTGTGAGTACAGGGAATTTGTGTGAATACATGTTCTTTGACTCAGAGCCAGGCAGCAGGAACTGCTTGGGGCTTTTTCTTTAGCTTTCTCATATAGTGGTTGTGTACTCATCTGTTTTGTTATTTAGCATAAACATACATTGCGCTATAGCAGTAACAAATGTATATGTTTTCTTATGATGTTTTATAAAAAAATTTGTGGGCAAGCTACAACAACAACCAACTTTGAATAGGATATCTGCCAAGGACATAAAAGTAGTAATTTCATACCTACTCTACTACTTGGGTGTTGTTTTGTTTCCTAGTAGCATTGTTTCGAGCCCCATGGTTACCGTGTAGATTTTCAACTAGGCACTCTGTTAAGGCATTTTATAGCTGTGTCCAGAATATTGTTTGTCTACGTTAACATGATTTTTACATTCTTATGTACATATTGTTTAAACTCATTTAACATATGTACCTCAACCTTGGATCACTAGAAAGTCTCAGACCAATAGCTCTAAACCAATGCCATAGTTGCCAATATGGTAAAGGTATTGAATAAAACCCCTTTTACAATCATGACCATGCTTAAGCTGGCCATACACTATATGAATTTTGGCCGGTTCTTGATGATCAGCTAATCAAAAGAGCCGTTTGGAAAATATTATAACAGATTCCTCCATCAATGATTAAGAATGCTGATTGAGGAATCTACCGCTGTTTGCATTGTATTCTGATGGCGCCAGCCAGAATGCCCGAACAGAGCTGGGAGCTCATTGGCTGTTGGCTCTGTTCAGGTATTCTGGCTGGCGCCATCAGAAAAGCGGGAGATTCCTCAATCAGTCCCCACCCATACATACACGCATGCAAACATGCGTCAGGTGCGCATATGTGCAAAAATGGCGATTGCGCCTATTACGCCACGCGTTACATATCACTGCGAACTTCGCAGTGTGAGCAATAATTCTAGGGCCATCAATCACTGATAACACTAAACATGACGAGCGGTAAAAGCTTTTGCCTATGGTCAATTTTGGGTATGGTAGTTTTCTGCGATTTCACAGATGCGCGCAATTTTAAAGCTTGACATGTTTGGTGTCTATTTACCTGACGTGACCCCGTCTTTTATATTTTACCAAAAAATTGGGTAATAACAGTTTCCTAACATAATGTAAAAAAAAAAAAAAAAATTCAAAATCTTCATTAATGTTTCCTGAATATAGTACAAGAATACAAAAAAAAACCAGCAGTGATTAAATACCACCAAAAGAAAGCCCTTTCTGTCCCAAAAAAAATGGTATAACATTTATTTCAGTACAGCGTTGCATGACGGAATAAATGTCAAAGTACTGCAGCGCTGTACTGAAAAATGGCTTGGACAGGAAGGTCTAAACACCTGGTCAGCAAGCGGTTAAAGAGAAGCTGGTTCCTATGGATAACTGCTCCAGATTCTGTCTGCTCCAGTTTTAAAACATTCCCCATATGTAGCCCCCCATAGTTGCTGGTAAAGTTATAGGAGATTTTACAGAAATTGTACAATCAGATTGTAAAGTATGGGGCCAATTTCATTCACCAGATGTGTTGGGGCAGTGGCAGCTGCTTTTTCCAGCACAGCCCCAACATTAGGCAAGGCAATTTGCCCTGTATAAAATGGGCTCAGTGCACACCATTACATTACAGTGGTGTGTGCTGAAGAAAAGTACTGCATGGCACTGTGCCTAGCAAACTTAAAGCAGAGCTCTGGGCAAATAAAATGTTATCCTTTGAAATGGGGCTATCCCCACACTGCAAGGGTTAAGTGCTCATTTTGTCTAGGGAACTAAAATAGCAAAGTTATACTCGCCTGAACCATGATCCAAGCCGGCTCTTACACCGCTTCCTTCAGTCTGTCTCCTCCTCCGCTCCTGCGATGCAATGTCCCTCAGGGTCCTCATGTCCAATTATTATATGTATTTTATATAGTGCCACCAATTTATGCAGCTTTACATAGTTGCACATTCACATCAGTCCCTTCCCTCAAGGAGCTTACAATCTAAGGTCCCCATCTCACATTACAGGAGAACAATTTGCCAGCCTGCAAAAAATTACACTGACTAACATTTAGGTTTAAAAACAGAGGGTTTAGTTGCACAACTTTAACAAAATATATAGATGTCACACCAAGGCCCCTCTGGGTAGTGTGGTCCTAACCCTAATCTATAAGAACGTCCATCTTGGAGTATATAGAGCAAAGAATGAATTGGGTGCAGGTTCATCAGGAGGTAGCGCAACCGCCTAAAAGGCACAGGGACACACCAGAAGCCCAGCACATCACAATGGCAGCTGCAGCCCCCAGTGTGTTCCCACACCAAATCCAACAAGTGAAACAAATAGCAAACATACTCATCAATTCATAACTAGCTTTAAAATAAGGTGCACATGGAAGGGCTTTACACAATATGAAGGCAAACACTGCCTATCTCACATACAGGGCTGATTTAGACAGGAGCTAATACATACCTACCAGCATGTCTTTAGAGTGTAGGAGGAAGCCCATGCAAGCACTGGGAGAACATGCAACATGATTTGAACTGGGGACCCCCTATGCTGCAAGGCAAAGGTGCTAATAACTATGCCACATCCAATAGAGTATGTTGAATGTGTTGACTCTCAGAACCTTAAACTGGCCATACACCTATAGATTATCTGCAGATTTTCTATAGTCGGATAAGAAAAAGTGCAACAGATTCCTCCATCTACGCTTCACTGTGTGGATGGAGTAATCTCCCACTGGGCCACGCTTCAGTATCTTGCTAGTCAGCTCCGCTGGCTCTCAAACTATCTGAACATTGCCTGCATCCAATCAGATTGTTCAGGTATTTTGACAGCCAGCAGGGCCGACTAGCAAGATACTGAAGCTTGGCCCAGTGGGAGATTCCTCCATCCACACAGTTTAGTGTAGCACTTTTTCCATACGACCATAGAAAATCTGCAGATAATCTATAGGGGTATGGCCAGCTTTAGACTGCTGAAGGGAGTGGTGTGGGAGGGAATTGGGATTGCGGTTCAGGTGAGTATAGCTTTTGTTATTTTAGCTCCTTAGACAAAACGAGCACTTAACCCTTGCAGTGCAGAAGAAGTGCAGTGCAGAATAGAAATTACACATTAAAGGTGCCCATACACCTTGCGATTATCGTACAATAATCGCGGGAAATCCTGCGACCGTACAATAATCGCAAGGTGTATGGAAGGCGTGCAACCGTTTTTACTGTACGGTGCACGTCTTTTGTCGAACTAGCATGCTCGAAAACCCGCCGAGAATCGTACGATTCTCGGCGGGTTTCTAGCCTACTAGTTCGACAACTGCGGAACGGGCCGGTGTGCGCACACGCACACTGCCCGTTCAGCATTGCGGTCATCGGAAGCCCGCCCATCAGCGAGGCGGGCTTTCGATGATCGCAAGTACGAGCTGCCTGTCCAAGATGGGCAGATGGTACGAGCTTTTAATTAGCTTACGACCATCGCAAGACAAAAGTCTTGCGATGGTTGTAAGGTGTATGGGCACCTTTAGATTGCAATGGAGAAAGCAGCTGGTTTCTTCAGACTGTAATCTTATGTCCACCAGCAGCCCAAAGCCTTAGGGCTTGTTAACACCAAGTGCGGAGCAGATGCAGAGCAGAGCAGTTCTGGATTCAAAAATGAATCCAATGTATTCCAATGGTATTTTGGACTTTAGTTCACACTAGAGCATTCAGTTCCAAAGCATATGGAAAAACTGCAGCATGCCCTTTTTTCTGCTCTGGAATGCATGAAAAATGCATGCAAACACATCAAAAATGCATGCAAATACCCTGGAACACACTGAAAGCCCATTTTAGGCTAGAAAAATAAATAAATACATTTAAAAGCGGCTCTGGACGTGGCAAAAACACGGCAAAGACACACTGCACAGCATGTGCTGAAACTCATGCAGATCTGGTCCGGATTTGGTGTGAACAAGCCCTTAAACAATGTTTATGGCAATTCCCCATAGAGCAATTGTGTTTGCCAGATACAATCATTGTCAGGCTTGCTAAATATTTCTATACCTAGTGAAAAGATGTGATCAACAGACTTCCTGGCCAATGTAACCCTTGTTCTGATGTTATTTGGCTTCTTTCTACTGATGTAGAGATAAATGCTGCCAGGATTTCCCTGTGCTAGCAATAAAAGCCTAAGACCCCATTTACACTGAGCTACATCGAAAAAAAAGCACTTTTCCAGCGCTGATTTCAGCAGAGAGACATTGAGCTACAGTGCACATTTTGTCGCACTATGAAGCGCTTCTTTTGGCAGTCTATTAAAGCATATTGGGGCCAGTCGCACAAAATCCGCTGGAAAAATAGGTCATGTTCGAGTGACAAGCTTCAGCTACAAGCGACATTGAGCTGTGAGATGTGAACAGCTCCATTGAAATGCATTGTACGAGCTACATTGAGCGGAAATCGTGCTACAAATCGTTCAGTGTGAATGGGGTCTAAAGGTTGTGCCATGATTACTGGTTCCACCCAGGGGTTACTGTGGCGATATTGCTTGGATACGTGTGTGTTCTTCCTGGAAGAGAAAAGCCAGCTTGACATCCTAGCTACAGGGAAGTTGTTTGAATGGCCCGTCCCCCTGCTTGCTCCACTCCCATCTCTTAAACTCATCTTTGACTTGCAGTTTGGCTGCACACTTTTCCCTGCCTGCTCAGTTTTGTTTTACTCCTGCTATGGCATACAATGCTTGAACTCCTGAGTGGAAAAGTCAGCAACAAAATGCAGCCTCCTGTAGTTACAGCCCATGATTGCTCTCTCTTTTTGTGCTCCTTCAAGCAAAGCAAAGCTGCCGTGAGACTGAAAGAAGATATGAAAAGAGTGGTGTCTAGGCCTGGCAGAGGACAGCCCCCCATGCCATGCAGGAAAGTGTTTGGAGTGCCACTCAGAGACCTGCAAAAAGAGGGGCTGCTGATAAATGGCGTGCCAGCGGTGGTGTGGAACCTGGTGGAGTATTTGCGCAGCGAGGGTAAGTGCTGGCGTTAAATGTAGTTTATTTGTTAGAAAATCCTTTATTTTATTTTTTTTTGTCAGGAATATTTGTTTGGTTATGTAAAAAGAATACCTAGCAAAACCGTTTGTTTACTTTGTTGACAAATCCCTTCACGCTGGATGTAGTGAGGTCATTCCCCTCTGTGTGCAACAAGTCTGACCACACGTCTGTTAGAACTGGGATGTCGGATCACATTCACAGGATTATGTTCCCGAGCACACACCATTATAGTACATGCATACATATTCATAGCTGCAGTCTAATTAGACAGACATCAGTGATGGTCTGGAAGCAAAGCAAATCTGCGGTCAGGAGGTGAAGTGCACTTCCCGTATCTAATAAAAGGGGCTGTGTAGACCTTGGCAATACTGGTGCTGTGCAAGTGTACATTCCATTAAATGTCACTAAACTCAGTAGTGAAATCTTAAAAGTGCATTCAAGTACCTTAACTATTAGCAATAATGTATCTTATTTGTATCACTCAACTGTAGATCCTCAAATCATCTCTGAATAGATGCTGACACTGTCCTTCCTTCTGGAGGGTGGCTACTTTTGTTCCCCATGGTCCCTGTGTGTGTTGTAAAGTAGTCACCGCTCCAAGCTCACTCCTATGATGGACTACAATCTCACGTTTAGTTTACTAATTTATATTGACATTATAGTCTATCCTAGGAGTGAGCTTGGAGCGGTGACTACTTTACAACACACACAGGGACCATGGGGAACAAAAGTAGCCACCCTCCAGAAGGAAGGGCAGTGTCAGCACCAATTCAGAGATGATTTGAGTGATACACAAATAAGATACATTATTGTAACGACCCTAGGTTGAAAATCTGGACAACTTCAGTGATGGAAACATGCAGCATTTTTGCAGATCGCACTGGACCAGAACGCAGGCACTAATGTGCCACGCGTTCGGGGTGTGTGGCTGCAGTGCTGACGTACCTCTTGCAGGTATGATGCGTCATTCTCGCTATGTAGAAGCCCAGCATGAGCCATGACCGACAGCCGTTGCTGGAGCACATGCATGTAGATGGAAAGTGGCTGTATAGGGGCTGGAGGAGATCAGAAACACTGATGTGCAGCAAAGGATAAAAAAAATTTGAAAACTGTATTTTCTATTACACACTGCTTTAGCGTGTGTGTGTGTATGTATGTATATATGTGTGTGTATATGTATGTATATATATGTGTGTGTGTGTGTGTATATATATAATATATATATATATAAATATAAATTATTTTATTTTTTTGTGTGTGTGTGCAGCCCTCTGGTGGCCCTAACATCTAGCAGATGGCTAACCACTGGCTAAAGGCATCATTACATTTAAAAATTCAGATTCAAAGAAACCCTTGCACCGTGCTTTAAGAAAAAAAATGGTTTAATGTTTTTTAATACCTGCAGGGATGACACATGAAGGCCTTTTCAGAGTGAATGGAAACGTTAAAGTGGTTGAACAGCTCAGGGTGAAATATGAAAGTGGCGAGACGTTGACTTTATCAGAAGATGCAGATGTCTATTCTGCTGCCAGCCTACTGAAGCTGTTCCTTCGAGAAATGCCAGATGGAGTAATCAGCACAGCCTTGCTTCCCAAGTTTATTCAGATATACCAAGGTGAGCACAGCAAGTTCTGCACACACTACAGCAAATGAACAAACTGTTAGTGAGATTCAAACCTTTGCATACAGTATATTATCGCATGCGTGTTAACGCATGTTGAATGCACATTAAATTGTGTTGCTGTAAGGCAGCCTATTCATTATGGATGGGCTGCCAATGCGTCACAACAAACCTTTTCATGCACCTACACTTTTTTTTTTGTTTGTCTCCAGGGCACTACAACACACACATGGTTTGCATCTTTGCATTACAGTGCACTAAAGTGCACGTTCATTGTGGTGCGCTAAAATAAATGGCACTGCAATGTGGTTTATGCATTGCCGTAAAGTGCATTTTATTGCAACGTGAAAACATTTTATGAAGCTTCTCTCTATACATCTATAGGTGTTTTTATTTTGTATTTTTGGAGAGCCTTTCGCCTACTTAAAATACATGTGTGCTGTTACATTGGGGTGCTACATGATGTTTGTATCCAGAACAGGGGTGGGTTTGCTTGAGCAGTTCTTGTTATCCCCTTCCTGCCAGCCATACACATACAGGTATATATGGCAGCACAGAGGTAGGCTTTATGCCGTGCTGCCATAAATATGCGTATGGCCATTCAGTCACACTGCCCTAGCACATGCTGGTCACACAGTATGGATTGGTAGCTGGTAGGATGGGCTTCCAGTCATGTGACCTCTGTGACAGCCAATCACAGTGGTTGCATGTTTGGGAAACCCATGTAACACTTTTAACAGCCTGACTTCCTCTGGCAATAAGGTGTTATTAATAGTGCCATCTGTCAGAGGAGGCTATTGGCTTCTTGAATGCACTTTAGCAAAAATGCACCACACTTTTTTTTTAAAGGATATGTACTATTTTTCAAATATTAGTGTGTGACTGAGATCCGCTTAATGATCACTTTTACTGCTTTTTTGATAGTACTGCATAGTGATAATGTTTTCCTGCTCCACTGATTCTATGCCAGTCTATGGGTCAGCTAAGACCCATAAGGATTCATCTAACATGTATGCTTTTTAGGTGACATATTTTTTTAGTTGGCTTTTATCCCATCACTCATTCACCAAGGATGTGGAGTGCATGCAACATGCAGATGGCCACTAGAGGGAGCCCCTAAAAAAAAACTAGTTCCTTCCGACTTGGTCTTCAGATAAACTTTCCAGTAACAACTGGGAGAGGTGCTCACACTGGAAATACTCTGATTTCCCTTGTTAAAGTGACCCTAAACTCAGGAGTTAAAACTTAAAGTGCATTTAAGTACCTTAACTATTAACACAAATGTATCTTATTTGTGTATCCCTCGGCTGTAGATTTCAAATCATCTCTGAATTGGTGCGGACACTCTCCTTCCTTCTGGAGGGTGACTACTTTTGTTCCCCATGGTTCCTGTGTGTACTGTAACGAAGCTACCGCTCCAAGCTCACTCCCGTGATGGACTACAATTTCATGTTTTAGTTTACTAACTTGGAGGGGTGTCTACTTTACAACACACCCCGTGACTATGGGGAAAAAAAGTAGCCACCCTCCAGAAGGAAGGACAGTGTCCGCATGAATTCAGAGATGAGTGATGCACAAATAAGATACATTTTTGTTAATAGTTTAGGTACTTGAATGCATTTATTGTGAGGAAAGAAAAGAAGTGGTCTTTAAGTGCCAAGTGACGACATTGAACCTATACAGGGCTAGAGACTCTGTCCCATCCCAATGGGACAATGCAGGGTGCCTGAGCGCCCATTCGCTAATCATCAGTGCTGCTGTGTGGAAGCTGGGCCGTGGCTAGGGTGAGGCACTCGCTTTGGCTTGGCTGCGCCCCCCTCGCCCCTGTAGCCATGGCACAGGCTGCAGCTTCTCTCCGGATCTACGCTGCTCTCCCCCAGCAGGGATCTGAGGAAAAAATGGAGCGCTGAAGCCGGTGGGGGAGGCGCAGGAGGGAGCTGTCATCCAGGATGGCCGAGCTGCAAGAAGAGAGCCGCGCGGCCAGGATCTGACAGCCGGCGGCTCTCTCTCCTCACTGCTCTGCCATCATGAAGTGGCAGCGCTCCTCCTCCTCTAGCCTCTGCCGGCTTCAACGCTCCTTCTACTGTGTGTGGCTGAGCGGGTCAGGCTGGAGAGCGGAGGATCGGTAAATATGTGAAATATTTACCGATCCTCTGTGCAGAGCAAACACTGGAGTGATCAGTATTGGTGGGTTTTGTGGTCCCCCTACAGCCTGCATTCTGCATTAGAGTCTAAGCTCCTGTGTACAGAAACTGTGACTTGCTCAGTGTTCTCTGTACAGCCCTGTGGTATATGTCAATGCTATATAAATGTATAATAATAGTGTAAGACTGTGGGGTGACCACAAGTACCGGGGCGTGGGGGATTTAGTGGCCCATACAAAATGTTGCTATGGGGCCCTGTGATTTCTAGTTACGCCCCTGTCTCCCAGCAACCAAGTGAAGTATGGAAAGCTGGCGCGAGTGGCATTTAAGTAAACCTGTTGCTTTGTGCTACATGAGTATATCACAGGTTCACTTTAAACTATGTTAATGACATAATGTGTCTTCTTTTGAAATGGAAACTCGCAAGATGGGGCATGTTTTGAAGATTATGCATGTAGGTTTTGTTATTTAGGTGTGTTGTAATATCCTATTATGGCCTCAGCACTACTTTGCCAGCATAAAGTGAAAGATATTTTATAAACTTGTATTTGTTGTGACTAGCAGGTTCCGTCTTGGCAGATTAAACCTTTTTTTTTTATTTTCAAACTTGCACCAGTCATTTAACACGGGCTCATTTTTGGTCAAGTACCTTTACATTGGATTTATTGTACCTGTTACAGTTCACTTTAGACAGTAATGTTTTGTTGTCGGCCTTATCAAGTTATCTTGATGCAAGTGCCGTTAATCAATAAAAAAAACACGGCACTGTAATGGTTAATAAACCTGTGTACGATTAGAAGGTGATTTTTAACCAAGTGCTTCTAGGTGTCTCAGTGTGTAAAGATAAAGTGGATCAGTCTATACACATTAAAAAATCCTTCACTTTTTTTACACCTTCATGTGCATTAATACCATTAAGTGACAAATCATATGCGTGAAAAAATTCTGGTGGGTAAACAAAAATACAAACGAAAATAATTGTGAATGACAATTGTGCTAACAAAAAATATATATAAACAGATAAAGTCTCTGTAGTATACAGCTCCGCTTCAAAGCCAAATAGCAGAGCCTTCCAATGTTCGGTAGAGTAGTGCTTTCCTGGGGTTTGTATTAAGATCAATACATCCCCCTAATAGAGTGCGTACTCACCCCAAACTTTCGGCTGTAACAGACCGCCCCAAACGCTTTGTCTGATGGGACACCGTTACTGCGGCGTCTTTCGTATCTCGTTCTTTACCATCAGTCCTCAGTGTAAAGTATTCCCACAGTCATGCAAACAAAAAATCTTTCATCGGGTAATAGTTCCACAAATAGTTTATTTAAAATTTCTTTTAAAATTAAAAAAATCCCATTCGGCCGGTCCGAAAACAGACGTGTTTGGTATGGTAGACCTGCCCCTACATGTTTCGTCACCACCGACGTCCTCAGGGGCCTTCCTCATTGACATCACTTTACCACGCTTGTTTCTGAATTAAAAGCCTTGACTTGGAAAAAAAACATTTGTGGTTTACCACAAGGATAAGGTATTGCAGAGGCCTTTCTTCCTAAGGTGGTCTATGCCGCCCACCTTAACGAGGAAATTGTCTTACCGTCTTTTATGTCCTGCTCCTAAACATGCTAAAGAAATTTCTCTTCACTACTTGAACGTGGTTTGGCTTGTGTTTTACCTTGGTTACGCTTCCATATGATTCACCCCTCTTTATTTCTGAGGGTCCCCATATGGGGGAGCCAGCTTCTCGTTCCACGATCGCTAAGTGGATTTCACTTACTATCACTGTGAGTTGAAGGGTAAAGTTCCCATCTTTCCAGTGAAGGGTGACTCTTTTAGGACTGTTTATAGCTTGGGTCTTTCAGCATCAGGCTGGTTTTCAGTTCACACTTTTGCTAAGTTTTAGCAGGTGGATGTTCAGATTACTTTTACTTCGATCGCAAACAGGGCAGCCATCAAAAATTTTGGGGCCCCTTGCACAGCCTTAGGCCTGGGCCCCCCCACACCGCCCAGCTGTCCCATCAAGTCTGTCCACTGGTCGTCCCCCCGGGTCCTTCAGTGCACTTTTATTTTACACACTGTTTTAACCAAAACCGTATTTAGCAGTGCTAAGAAGAGCTTCTCATTGGTCAGTGCCATCAGGTGACCGCACTGACCAACGAGTGCTTGCAATTTGCACAGACGACATGGCACAGATACAGATAGTGCACCTGTACTGGCAGACAGTAAGGACTGTTCGCTGAAAGGTAAGCATAGCAGGGAGGGAGAGGGGACCAGATTTGTGCGGGTAATTCCATTCTCCCAAATTACTTGGGAAAGTGAATTTACCCTTTAGGGCTGGTGCAGACTTGGGTGATCATGTGCGATTGCCATGCGGCGCTATTGATCTCAGTGGGGTTACATCCGCGTGGCAATCGCTGAGAAAAGGTACATGTACCTTTTTTTCGCGACATGCACTGTGCGGTGTTTTCAACCGTGATTATGCGTGATTGCACAGGTGGTATTGTGGCGGAAACCCCTGAAAATCTGCCTGGCGAGACTGGGGTGCCATTAGAAAATAATGGCACTGCCAGCGCGATCAGTTGTGTCCGATTCTGTGACCGCCCGGCCATCTGCACCATTTTGTGCATGAATGCCGCGTGCGTTTATCTACATGCAGATGGTGGGGACAGGGGTGTTGGTTTTATTTTTTTTTACATTAATAATTTTACTTTTTTGTTTTTCTTTGTAAAAAAATAGTATTTTTAATTTCCATTTATTTTATTCTTTTTTTACTTTTATCACCTTTTTTTTTATTTTTTACATTTGTATTTCCATTTTTAGTTATTTGTTATTTTTTTTGCATTTTTATGTATTTATAT